AACAAAAAAACCCCCAAAAAAGAGAGAAAAAAAACATGTGATGTGACACCCAGAGAGGCCGTGACGTGAAAAAGGCCTCCCTTCGTACCGCAGTCGGGACACGGCATGGGCGGTAGCCACTCGAACGCCGTGGTCGCAGGAAAGAGCGCCCGCGCAAAAGTCATGTTGGTATCCGTTCCGCTATGTTACCATCCAGACCAGCTCCATTGGCTTTCCCGTGTGCACCCTCCGGCTTGATATCATGCGCTTCCCGCGCCAGGCAACTTTGGTACCTGGGCCTAACTTGCTCTAGCTTTGCGGCTTGTCCTGTATGTTGTAGCCCATGCCCAGCTGCCGAGCTAGAATGCACAAAAGGTCGTGTCTCGCTTCGTCCTCGGGCACCAGCGGAGCCGGCTCGCCCTTGGGGTTTTTGTTTTTGTCGTTTTCTTTTTTCTACTTGCATGCATCGGGTAGGTCCTGCACAATGTGAAGATATGTATGCGGCTATCCTTCTTGGCTTGGCTGGTACCCGCACCATTCCCTCCCGCCCAAAAGGGAGAAAAAATAAGAACATGCGTCGTCGTCGTCGTCGTCGTCGTCGCCATCGATATCACCGGAGCCTGGACCGAGCGCGACGCTAAAGCCAGGTGCGGGTGGTCCAGCCTCCACTGCCGATCCTGGCTTGATGCCCCGAGCGTGTTTTTTTTATTACGCCCTCGTCAATGATTGGCAATCTCCCACTCCTGTTTGTCCAGCTACTTTCTCGACACTCACCTGTACTTCTTTCTGTTGGCGGAGAGCGTGAGAGAGACGCCAACTCGCTTCCCAACAAGCCCTATAGTGTGGTAATGAGGCGGTGAAGCTGCACTTGCACTGCCTCGCCGCCCCTCCTCGGAGCCAACCCCCTTTTCGGCTTGGCCTGGTTCTGGCCTTCTTTTCTCGCCTCACCCACATCCAACGTGTCTCGACACCCTATCATTCGTGTCGTCCAAGCAGGCTGAGGGAGGTACGCACAAGAAAGAGTATTGGCTATCGAGCTTTTTTGGCGCACCCCTCCCCGAGCGGGCTGACAGCAAGACCCACTACCATCACCACCACCACGCCTGCCGGCACCCTGCGAAAAACAGACAGGACAGGGGACCAATCCACCAGTCATGTGCTTTGGGAGAAGCAAACCCAATTCCTCGGGCGGCGGCAGCAGCGGGAAACACCAGCCGGCTGGCCGCGGAGGGGTCCTCAAGTTCGAGCGCGCGGCGCGGTACGATTTCAAAGCCGGCCTGCCGCTGGCCTCGGCGCTGCGGATACCCTCTGAGCCTCCGATGAGGGACGGGGAGCCACAAGACGGAGCAGGTGATACGGATGGTGAACGGAGAAGAGAGGACAGCAAGTAAGAACGCAGCTGTTCGCATGGGTGGGTCTTTCAGAATGTATCACTGCTGTTTCTGTATAACTGATGGGTGAATGTTTGATGGAGCTGTCCTCCATATTGGGGTTGGTAATTATGCTTAATCGGGCTGGGTGCCTGCCAGGTACCTACCAGGTACCTGGATTGTGTCGAGGAGGGGGATATAAATGACCAGTCACAATCAACAATGCCGCTGACAGCCGACGCGGTGCTTACACGGGCCCAGATGTCAGCGGAACGAACTCGTCCTCGTCATCATCGATCCAGCTCCGGATCTGGGAAGGGCGGTAAACGATCCAGTACCACCACACCCCGATGACTATCAGGGTCAGAAGGATGGCAATGACAAAGTAGATCCAGATGTACTCGGATACCGACGCGCCTTCCTTCCAGTCAAAGAAGGTCATGCTGAAGACGCTCTGGGATAGCGGGCGGCCGAGTTAGCAGGGTGCGAGCTGGAGTCGGGTGTAAAGTGACCTACTGCGAGGAATGTCCCGGGTAGGAAAACCATGGTCAGGAGCGCGATCGACCGCATGTGCTGCGAGTCGCGCTTGGTGTCAAAGGCGATTTCCACGTTGACCTCGCCTTGGGCCTGTAGAAGGGTGGGCATGAATATTGTCAGCTCCTGGATCGCCAGTAAGGACTTTCGCCTGCTACAGTGTGAGGGTGGTGTATACGTACCCACTGCGTGGCCATGGCCATGCCGTCGACGCGCATGGTGCAGTCCCGGGTCCAGTCGTCGTACTCCTCACGGATGGACTGGATGCGCTTCCGGATCTTGGCCTCGATGCCGATGCCGATGCCGATGCCGCCGTCGAGCTCGGCTTCGGGCGTGGTCTCCCTGCTCTTTTGCAGCCGGGCCTCGGACGCGTCGACGACGGGGTCGATCTCGAGGGCGTGCTGCGCCATCTTGGCGAGCTGGGCGTTCCAGCTGACGAGCCCGTTGCGGAGGTACGTCGTGTCGAGCCAGGCGTTGCGCTTGGCCATGTTCTTCTTGTCCGCGTCGGCGGCGGCCGCGCCGGCGCCGCGCCGGCGCCGCTGCTCCGACTCCTCCTGTAACGCGTTGAGCTCAAAGATGCGGGACTCGACCTCGGCGATGGTGGCGTTGACGAGCGCCATGTGGCGGCCATGCTCCAGCTCGGCGAAGATGCCCGGCAGCAGCAGCGGGTGGGCGACCGCCTCGTGGCTCTGCATGCGGTCGAGCCGCCGCAGGATCTCGTCGCAGGCCGAGAGGTAGCAGCCGTAGACGGTCACGAACGTCAGCCCGCGGCCCGGGAAGTACGTGACCGACAGCGCCAGGTCGAAGTCCCACGCGTGCGAGGACCGGCAGCTGTAGACCCACGCCGCCTCGCCGCCGCCCATGAGGACGCGGTCGGCCGAGAAGACGGGCACGTCGGCCCGGCTGACCACGCGCGCGATGGACCCGTGCGTGTGCATGCCCTCGGCCACGCGCTTGAAGGTGGCCTTGGAGAAGGGCAGGGTCCGGACCCCGCGCCTCGAGGTCTTGCCGGCTGTCGCCATCATCTCCAAGGTGGTGGCGGCGGCGGCGGCGGCGGCGGCCTCCTTCTCGGAGGCGGCGGCGGCGGTCGGCTTGGGCATCTCGAGGGCGGTCAGGGCCTTGACATTGCTCCCCCAAGCGCCGCCCGTTTTGGCCGCCGACCTCTGGCCCTCTATGAACTTTACCCACTCGTTCGAAGGGGCCTTCTTGACGGGAGGGAAAGGAACCTCGCCTGGGCGCTTTGCGAGACTGCATGGGCTTTGTTAGGGGCCTGAGGTAGGATAGTTGCGTGTACTCGGGGCAGGGATCCCAGCGCGTGAGCTTACATCAGAACAAGGCCAGAGTCTTTCCCATCGAGCTTCGGCAGATCCTGGATTCCGGAAGTTATAGAGCTGTTCCTATCGGCAACCATGGGGAAGAAAAGACCGATGACGAACATTGCTTAACCAGTCCTCCCATTCTTTATCTGACTCTAGAGAGGAGTATTGCAGCTTGTACTGTAGTCGGTCAGGCCTCGTTATCAGCTTCTAGATGTCTCCTCCTTCCTCCATCATGGCTGTCATTCGCACCTTTTGTCCCTGCAGGATTTGGACGACGGCACTGTCTCTTGGCGTATACTTGAAGACGGCGTCGAGATTATCGTCACTGAGTCCGAGATTATCCCGTGGCCAGTCCATCTTGGCCTACTACTAGGCTTGGAAGGGCTTGATTCAGATCTAGATGACCGCGGCCGGTGGTGTTGGACTTTATCGCCGTCAGTCGTCCACAAATGGGGGAGTAGTACCCGAGGAAATATTCTTTTGTTGCCCGGCGTACCAGCTGAATGCCCGAACCGACATGGCCAGTAACCAGGGCGTTCCCAAGCCGTGGCAGCTGGGGCAGTGCATTTGAGGGGTGCAGATTTTGGACGTGTTCTCTTGTGGCGGGACCTAGTTGGGTGAGAGTGTGCTGCATCGTTACCCACTAAAAGAACTGTTTCACGGCCTGTCACGCTCTGTGCTCCAGACACTTGTACATCAATGCTGGTCGGGTATTCCTGGGTCACCGTACAGTGCCACAGCAGCACTGGTAATCTTGCGATAAAAATGTAGCCAAGCAAATTCAGTTGTTGGTATTACCACTTTCACTGCCCTTCCCGGACCTTGTCCTTCCAGATACCGCATTTTCCCAAATGAAAGCGAGAGCCGGGCCACGGATTCCTCTTTGGGATTAGCACCCCTCCAGCATCACCTGCCAACCCCGTTTTAAGCTGAAAGAGTAATGGTGCAGTTCTCACTTTCAAGATGATATACCACCCAAGCCGATCAAATGTTTGCACTCCCCGCCAGGCAGCGTGGCCACAAAAGCGAGTTCCTAGCAAGCGTACCACCACCGATAACAATTTTAATGGAGCAATGAGCAGCAGCCTTAACCAGTATGCTTGATTCGCTGCCTTACAAGCTTTGGTTGGCGAAGCATGCATGATATTGGGTGGTACCGCGTTGTCGTCCTCGTGGTAGGCATGTCAGGTGCCTACTAGATACGTAGGCAGGTAGATAACCCGGCATCTAGGTATGTATACCACTGCTTCCTCGGAATATCCCCCTGAGACCTCCCCGATCACACATTCCTGGCATCCAGAAAGAGTAAGAAAACTCCCTGCTGCATATTTTACCAACTGCCCCAGCTGAACGACCCCTTGGTTTTTGACACCCAAATCCCAGAATCGATGCCGAGCCCCAATGCCCAGCGCAGAAGGACGGTCCTCATCCATGCTCGGTATATTGACGACTTCCCGCTCATGACGTTCCTCGTTCGTTTGTTCGGCGCCAACGAGTGTGAGGTTGAAGTACATCTCCCACCTCTGAATTCTGCGACAAGGCTGGTTCTGACAGCACAAAAACGCCCCAAAAACAGTGGAAACGTGGATACTACCAATGTATCCTCCCTCGTGGTCTCAAACCTGTAAGCACAGCACAGCTGGGACAGCCCCCCGGCGTTATTAGCGCCTTGGTAGTTTCTCACCAAGCCCTGGGATCTGACGGCGGCACTGTCTCCAGCGGGAACTCGAGGTCCTCAAACAAACGGTGGATTACGAACGCTACCAGGAGAGATGAGAACCCTAGAGCGGTCGCACTGGTGAACACCCACGATCGAGGACCCATACCATACCACTGCCGCCGAGACAGCGGCGGAGAGCTGTCGTGATGCGTCCCCGCGGTGGACTTGATGGGTTGACATCGGTTGCGGGCCTGTTGTCGATCCTTGCAAACGACATCTGGCCCAGCAAGGATAGGAACGAATAGAAATCCATGTCTAATGCCGAGTGCTTCTTTTTGTGTTCGGGGTATCGATTCTCGAGATGGAGACTACGACGGCAACAAAACCAAACGATAGACGGGCTACTTCACTCTCCCAAATAGTGCCCGCTCCCAACCCTGCCTCGCCCGCCCATGAGCATATGTGCAGACCTTAATCCCCCTGAAGGTCGCTAAAGTGCGACACGGTCATGGCCTCGGTCGCGCCGTTGGTGAAAACCGCCAGACCCCGCCCTGGCTGTGCTGCGAGCATCCTCCGCGCGTTGGGAATCAGGGGGGCCTCGACCGCCGGATACCGCTCGATTCTACACCCAGGCCAAGGGCGCGGCTGCAGGAGGTACGCTGGATCCACCCGCTGGCGCATGTTTCGAAGCCTATCCGAGAGCGGGCGGGCCCGGATGCGCTGTCGCGTCGGCGACATGACCACCAGCATCTCGTCGTGCACGAGTTGCAAAAGGTGGTGCAAGTAGCCCGTGCAGGCCGGGTGCGCGTGCAGCTTTTCGATATACTTGATCCGTGGCCCCTGGCGTCAGCCTCGACAGGAAAGATACCAAAGTTTACGGTGGGAGGGTTTGCACAAACCTTGACCACGCCCTCTTTCACCAAGAAGACAAACCTCCTGCGACCTCTGGTCATTCCATATGATGCTGGCATCTCCTGGATGTCGAAGAATAGGTCTGTCTTGATCATTGCCAGGTATGGCGCTCGCCTCTCCCTTTTGAACTCTTCACGACCCTTGGCACCGCCCAAAAGCCACGCAGCCATCTCGAGAAATATGCAGCCCATGGTCCAGATGTCGAAAGCTCGAGAGATCTTCCCGCCATCCATGTCACACTCTGGCGGCCGGTACCTCGGTGTACACGGGAGGTTCTCGTTGGGCACGTTGGACCTGCTGACGTCTCGGTGGACGGCTGCGATGCCGAAATCGGATATCACTAGGATTCCTAGCGGATCTTGGTTCGAGAGGAACCAGAGAATGTTTTCGGGCTTGAGATCGCCATGACGCCCATACTTCTTCTCCTCGGGCAAGAGGAAGTCGCTCCCCTGCCTGGGCTCGTGGATCGCGTGCATGGCGTCGGCCAGGCCGAACATCTGTTTTGCGACCCACTGTCTGAACTGCAGCGGCGTATGAGTTGGTATCTGATACTTGCCAGACCACCACTGGTCGAGGTCGCATTGCGCCCAGGGGAAGATAAAGTTATAGCAGTCATTGTGGGCGAAGGTGGCCAGAAGAGTTACCAGATGCGGGTGCGCGGTGCCGCTGAACCTTTTGAGCATCTCGACCTCCTTCTCAAACTGACCGATATCGCTCTTGCGAAGGGATTTGACGGCGAAAAACTGGTCTTGCAAAAAGGCCTGTGGCTGTGGGATAGCATACAGCACTCAAAAGATCTCTCTAGCACAGGAAATACAATGGAGGGATGCACTTACCGAACCCAAAAGCACATCTAGGCTGTGGCAGTCTCGATCGATCTTGACCTTCTTGACGACCCCGTACCCGCCACTGTTCTCCCCCTCGGTCCACGTCGACTGGCCGTCATTGGCGCTGCTTATCTTGACCCAGGGTAGGATCGCTTCAGGGGGTATCTCGTAGTGCGCCACGTCCCCTCTGGCGGATGGGGCGAAGTAAGGTGGTATAAAAGGCCACTGCGTCGAGAGGAACCGCCTGATCTCTTGCGGCTGAAACCAGTCCAGCGGCCGAGGGACCGGCTCTGCGGGCCACTCCAGCCTGGGGGTGGCCACATTGCGCCGGCCGGGGCCAGCGGTGGGAGCCATGGCCAGCCTCAGTGGCAGCTCGCGGTCCGAAACACCCTGCTCGATGAAGTGTCTCACCAGGGAACCCCTTGAATACAGAATCAGGATGGCGAAGATGCGAAGGTAGCTGGCTTGCTGGGACGCGCGCGTCTCCCCGGTCTTGCTCCATCTGATCGAGTCTACCGCCAGGCTCGTCGTGCTGGGGTGTTTATCCGCGGGCATGATCATGGAGCAGCAGTAACGGGCCTCGGCTTCCTCGAAACCACACTCCTCACGAAGGGCGCGGAGCACGCGCTCTCGCGTCATGACCCTGCGTAGCCTGGCGTATGGCCACTGTGGATATACTCGATTAGCCTCCCAGGGTCCTCACGTGGATTGCCGAAATAATAAAACTAGCGGAGAAGGGACATGGGACATGGGATATGGGTTTTGGGGGGGGGGGGGGGGGGGGGAGGA